ATCGCACTCTGAGGAAACCAAAACCATGTAGTTCGAAGAGTAATGGAAGCTCTTGTTTCTGTATCATAGTAAAATCTCGATCTTTTTCCCGTATATGCAGCAGGTATTTGTATTCTAGATTAATAATACACTGATAAATAAACTGTTTTGTATATTCATATTACGGATATCTTATTGAACCGCCGTAGCATGTTTGTAGAGAAGCATGCATACCGCGGGGTAGTGACTTGACCCCAACATGCTGAAGGCGGTACTCGCTCAGCTGAGTCGAGTGGGAGGGGCTCAGAGGACGCGAATCCTGAGCATGGTTTTGTACATTGTGGCGGGGAAATTCTGTACGTTACGTGCGTGAAACTTTTATCTTAAAAGAGAAAAAAATGGGCGTATGTGTCAAATTTCCTTTAATTATAAAACACAGTACAGGCTAATAATGATATAATATAGATGGGGCGAGTGTTTTCAAATAAGTGTCTTTTAATTAAAACAAGTACAACTAATATCGTATCTATCATATAAAGGTGAGTGGCTAGGTTTTCAAAAAATATGCGTTTAACGACATTGAAAGAAGGTAGACTAGAGAGGGAGATAAGTAAAAATATGACAAGTGTTTACTAACAAACAGTTGTAGCGTAAAATGATTTGAAAAGAGGAGGTTGGCAGTCAAAAAATTAAGTACTGATAAGAACATGCAGCTACGATTTATGAGGAGAGACTGTAAAGGAGTGATGTGTGATGTCAGCCGAATGTTATGTAGGTCATATAAGAATCGTGGAGACGGGGGGAACAGAGGGGGAGGGCGGATTTGATTCGAAGGGAGAGAGAGAGAAAAACTAGCGCTAAATAAACAAAAGAAATGAGGAGGAAGAGGAGAACGGCCGGTAATGAGGGAGAGGAAGAGGGAGGAAGGATCACGAGGAAGAAGAGAATGGAAAAAGGAAGGAGGGGATGAAAGAAAGGATGGAGAAAGGAGAGAGAGGAGGAAGATGTGGAAGGAGAAGGTGGGGATGGGGAGAAATGGTAGAGAGAAGATGGAGAAAGGAGAGGAGAAGGAGGAGATACTAGGAAAGGAGGAGTGAAGGAGAGAGGAAGAACAGGAGCGGGAGCGAGGCGTAGAGAAGAGAGGAACCAGAGGGAGGAGAGAGAGGAGAGAAGGGAGATGGGTGCATAAGTCAAGAAAGTAGGGCGTTTTTATTATGTAACTCAAGTTGGTAGTGAGTATTAGCGCTTAAATGCTGTTAAAACACACAGCGAGCGATATGTGTGTATTAGTCGTGTATTATACTGTGAATTCGAGAAGGGTGGCCGCTAAGGAGTGGCGCGGCATTACTTGAGGTAGGTCCGCAGCTGGATATACGGTGGAAATGTGGATGTCTAGAGTGCTGTATGTTACGGCGAGAGGAGGGGGAGGAGAAGAAGGAATCCTGGTATTATCCGATTGGTAGTCTTGATCGTATTAGTTTGGGAAAATAAAAAGATACGAGATGATTAAAGAGATCACATGTGTGTCTGTGTCTGAGCGTTTGGTGTGTGTTTGATGACTTTGTAATGTGTTACATATGTTTTATGTGTAACCATGTATTAAGTATAAGCGTATATAATAAATGGATAGAGAGTTCACGAGGTAAGTAAAGGTAGTGTAAGATGGAGAGAAGTAGTGCGCAGGAGAGATATTTCTCGATCTGCTCACGTCGTGTCCAGAGAAGAAGTGTCTCTATAAGAAAGAAGGGGAAATGTAATATAGCCGGCCATGTCTCTCACATCATAACGTATAAGGACTCCAATAAGAAAGCACACAAATATATCTCGTCGTGGAGGTTATGTATTAAATCGCACATGGAAACATAGACACACCACGTGAGCTTCCTCCGATTAGGAAACTTTG